TCAGAACAAAGATATCGAGATGAGGTAAGCCACTTCCTGACTTCTCCTTAAAAATACATATTAAAAATATTAATCTTACACAAAGAAAAAAAATTTACAAAAATATTAATCTCTCTCGAGACAGAGGAGAGGCACATGCAGGAGGATACATAAGCTAAGAACTGCAAAATTTTCCTGCTTACCAAACACATTAGGTAGATGTTGCAGCATTGTTTGTTCTCAGATCTGTAGTGAAATCTTTTGGGATATTTTTAATCAGTCTTCATTGTTTGTTGCTATCACATCTGCATTGCTCGGCAAAACCTTCAGCTTTTATTAGAAGTTAAAATATTTTTACACTTGTTGCTTACACAGCTGCAAAGCAAAGTTAACTCAAACCCCCAGAAGCTACCAAAGCCCATGACAAAATCAGAGAGAATTAAGTCTTGTGAATTACACCAATCACATGACTTTGCCTCAGGATTTGATGATGCCTGGAGCAGACTATGCCAAGCTTGCAATTTTGTCAATTATGTTTCATTTCACACATTGGGGCTGTCATAGAATGAATTGTTATTGTAGATATCCCTGGGGACATAGAGCTCAGGCAGCCTCACACTACGTGCTAAAAAACTTTCTCAGACAGGGCTTGTCAGAAAACACATCTTCCACACAGACCCCTGCACTACCTGCAACTGAGCCAGGACAAGGAAAGCAGAGCCTCCAGACACAACCACATTCTGCACAGAGGATGCTGCACAACAGCCCTGGGCCTCCCTTTCAAGGGATGCTGCCCCTAATGCAAGCCAGCTGACAACAACAGTAAATTTAAAACAACAAAGCTAGGAAATCTACATGTTAAACAGAGAACTGCATCAAGGACACATGCATCAAAAAACTAGAATAAAAATGCACTTGCCCAACTCCTTATGGTTTTCTCACCTTATAAAATCACTCTGTCAGAAGCAAAACATAATTCTGTACCAGTATCTTATTCTTCTTAGATGGTACCTAGAATGGAAGGCAGGCTTTTTAACTCCCCTAGGCCTTTGCATGGCTTTGAATCTGTTCCTATCGCCTGATCCTAACTGCTGTCACCTGCCAGTAATTTCCTGCCTTGCTCTCGCTTGTTTTGCCATCACTGGATGCTGTCCTGGCAGAGGAAACCTTGCCAGTGCAAAAATATTGAAGAATATTTGAAAGGCACCTATCTGGTCTCTAAACTAATTTCCAGAAGTGAGGAAGCAAAAATATTTGTTTCTATCAGCTGTTTCATCAGCGACAGGTTGAGGTGGCAATTAAACACTGTATGGTAATGATGGACTTAGCTGGGGACTGCTTGATGGCCTGGAAATACCGTGCCCATCAGTGAAGACACACAATCATCTAAGATATTGCCACTTCACACTGCTTGCTGTCACCTCTGTACCTGAACCATACTAATAACATGAGTGAGTCAAACCCATTTCAGTGCCGCCAAGCAATCTGGCCTAAGTCACTCTCGCAGAATTGGGCATGAGCAGAGGGCATTTTCTGGAAACAAGGTGATTTACAGCTCCAGTTACTTGCTCTATCCTTCAGCTGAGCCATGTTAATGATCTAACTGGGAGCTCCCAGTTTGCTTCAGCACAAAGTCAGCTATCACTGCACAAATCAGATGAGCCCCTGAAGTGGATTGGGAGCATTATCAAAGTGTGTGAATGTGGCTCAGCTCCAGGGGAGAAGCAGATGCAAGCTGGGGTGTGGTACCAAGCAGATGGAAAATGGTGTTTCCCTAAACAGTCCCACTAGATCTGCAGCAACACATCTGCTGCACCCCAGTGTGCTCCTTCTTCCTTTTTCCACTCACTGCAAAAAGATTTGGGCTGAATCTCCTATTCCACTGAACCTTCAGTCGGTGTTCATACCCATGGAGAGATGACATAAGATATGACCTTTCCCGTGTATTTGCTTGCTACATCACACTAGCTGTGAAATAAGAAAGACTCCATGAAGTGTGAAGTGTTGGATTTCAGATCCTATTTGGTGCTCATGCTTTCTTTGCCATATTTCTGCATCCAAATTTTATCCCTTAGCTAAGCTGAAGGGAATGTATCTTCCTTCGCATCTATGGGAAAACAAAGCAGATGGTCTCAGTCTGAGGGACAGATGTCCACATCAGAAAACTGTCACCGCACTTGACACCTTCCCAGCCATACTGGCCAAAATCCTCCAGAAAAGAAAAAACACACCTTGCCATTTTGCATGCATTTACATTCATTTGCATGCATTCAGGCACCTACTGTGCAGAATGCTCAGCCTACCCATTTTTTAAGTTACACTCAACCTCAGAAAGGCTGGTGTGAAGATTACTTGCTAGAAGAGCTGACTGCCTGGTGACTTTGGTATGCAAGCTATTAATAAAAAGGACCATTCCATGACATAGTCCTACTCTCTTCCTGCCTTTTGTCACAGGGATGAGTCTAGACAAGGAAGAGCAGCTCATAGCAGCACTGCCCCTACCCAGAAATTATGTAAAGGCAAATGAAAACCCTTTTCTGCTAGATTTTCTAAGACACAAGCAAAGCATTTGACACTGTCCCACATGACATGATCCTTGTCACTAATCTGGAGAGACACAGATGTGACAGACGCACCATTCAGTGGATAAGGAATTGACTGAATAGTTGAACTGAAAGAGCTGTGGTCAACAGCTCAATGTTCAAGTGGAAAGCAGTGGAAGTGGTGTTCCTAAAAGGTTGGTATCGTGACCAGTGCTACTTAACATCTCTGTCAGTGACATGGACAGTGGGATCAGCAGGCTTGCTGGTGACACTGAGCTGTGTGGTGAAGTCAGCACGCTGGAGGGAAGGGATGGCATCCAGAGGGACCTGGACAGGCTGGAGAGGTAGGACTGTGCAAACTTCATGGAGTTCAGCAAGGCCAAGTGCATGGTCCTACACCTGGGTCAAAGCAACCCCAAGCACAAACACAGGCTGGGAAAGAAAGGATTGAGAGCATCCCTGAAAGAAGATCTGGAGGGTTGTTAACGAGAAAATCAGCATGGCCTGGAAATGTTCATTTGCAGCCCAGAAAGCCAAATGTATCCTGGGCTGCATAAAAAGTAGTGTGGCCATCAGATCAAAGGAAGTGATTCTTCCCCTCTATGCCACCCTCATGAGACCCTACCTGTAGTAGTCTCATTCAGCTCTGGTCATAAGAAGGACGTTGACCCATTGTAGCAAGTCCAGAGAAAGCCACAAAGATGCTCAGAGGGCTGGAGCACCTCTCCTATGAAGACAAGCTGAGAGAGCTGGGGTTGTTCAGCCTGGAGAAGGCTTCAGGGAGACTTTAGAGCAGCCTTCCAGTACCTAAAGGGGGTTCTGCAATAGACCTGGAGAATGACTTCTTACAAGGACATTTAGTGACAGGACAAGGGGGAATGGCTTTAAACTGACAGAGAATGGGTTTAATTTAGGAAGAAATTCTTCAGTGGGGTTGAGGCACTGAAACAGGCTGCCCAGAAAAGTTGTAGATGCCTCATCTCTTCAAGTGTTCAAGGCCAGGTTGCACAAGTTTTTGAGCAACTTGGTCTAGTGGAAGATGTCCTTTTCCATGACAGGGAAGCTGGAACGAGATGATCTTTAAGGCCCCTTCCTACCCAAATAATTCTATGATTCTGTGATTCTATGAAAAGACTGGTGACATTGTCAGAGTACAAAAAACATAATCCCATCTTGTTTTCCTTTTTTTTTTTCTTTTTTTTTCCTGGCAGTGAGTTTTCTCTTCCAACCTCAAACAACCACTCTACATATTTTTATTTTCATAAGTGAGGCAGCAATAATTCATTGGGATTGTGGTAGCTGGAATGCCTGGGGGATCTGGATGTGGGCAATCTGAATTAGGGGAGAAGTCAATGAAACACAGGAGAATACTGAAGTGCCTTAGCACGAGGTCTGTTTCCCAACGTGCATGCACATTGCTGTCTGAGTTCATAGGAAATTATCCCACATGGAGCCTTGCATCCAGTAGGAGGGGAGAAAAAAAGCCAGATGAAAACAAACCAAACCAAAACACAGCAGATTGCTCAATGCTGTCTGTAGGCCATTTAAAAGGGGAGGAAAAAGAGATCTCTTAATGCAGTGCACTTGGCCAAAGCTGAACCCTGCTCATGGGGCAACCTCTGCAGGGGCAGGAAGGACATCCTGCCTCCCCATCCTGCATGGGGAAGGTCCAGCTGTGGGATGGGGCGTGATACTACCACTCAGGTGGCAATTACTGCTGAGAGCACAGCAATTATGGAGATTCTAGGAAATGTTCTGTGTGTTTTACAGTGCTAGTTATGGCTGCTTGGTGCAGCAGGAGGAGAGGGAAAAGCAGCCATTCTTGTGGGGATTTTTTTGTTTGCTTCATTTTAGGGTGATTTTGTATTGGTTTTTCTCTTCTTCTCAGCCCTGGTGATGCAATGACACCATGCCAGGGAAGAGGGGCTGTCTAAAGTTGAATGGCAGCAAATAAAGAAGCAGAGAGGCAAGATACACTGCACAGCACTTCTTGTTTGTCACCCAAGGCCTTTGCCCTGTGTCTCCATCCCTGCCAGAGCTTCAGAGTGACTCAGGGTTTGTCCAACCTGCCATGCACAGCTGCGATGGATCCCAGCTGCTGGGAGCAGCATAAAGGTGGCAGAGCCTTTTCCCACAAAAAAAAATATTAACAGCCAAAGAGATTTTCAGCCCCAAGGACCTTTGCCTATGAATCCTGTCAGCTTCCTTACCACCTCCGTAGCCTATCAACAAATCAACTCTGCTTCTCTTTCACAAGCCATTAGATTTCCCACTTCTTTCTTTGCACAAGGCAAAAACAGTCACAGAGGCTTCCGAAGCTGAGCTGGAGACATGGCTACATATACAGCTACAAGTGAGGAAAATGCCGCTTGTTTTCACTCTCTACCCGACACATGACAGCTTGTTACACAAAATCAGCAGCAAAACTCCCCCCCACTTTCGCAAAAAAAATAACCCAACCCAAAACTTATGTAACTCTGCAACTAATCTTTGTTAATCTTGAGCAAGGCATTTAAATCCAGGGAATAAGCCTATTCTTCTGGTCCCTCCACCCCCCAGCCTATCTGTACAGTGAAAAGAGAAACAAACAGAAGCAAAGTTTGCAGCCTTGTGATTTTTCCTTTTGACAAGAGCAAAGTGGCATCGTGTCCTGAGACTGCTCTGAAGTAAACCCTCCTCCCTTGCCTTATCCTATGCACTGAGCACCTTAAGAGAAAAGCTGCTTTAGGAGCAGCAGTCAGTTGCTCCTGGCTGAAGCATGGAAATCTCTACTCTCGCCACGTACCACTGCCTTGCTTTTGTCTGGTATTTTTTCGTTGCCTATTCCATCTCACATGTGAAAACAGAGGAGCGGCCATCTGAAGTGTTCCTTTACGGTGGGCAGTGGAAATATTTGACAGTCCTCAATCTGGTAAGCAAATTGTGTTGTACAGCGATACCAATATGTCTATTTGTTTGTCTGCCATCTGCGCCTCAAGACATATGCAGCTGGTGTATTAGCTGCTGTTAAACTGCTTCCTTTGCTGGTTTTTGCCCCAAAGGAAACGAAGGAGGCACCTGTGCTTGCGCTGTGAAATGTATTCACAGGTTTCATGCAGAAAGAATATTGACTGGTGAGATGCTTGGTTTTCAGAACCAGTACTTTCAAGATTTCTGCCTCCTTGCAAAAGAGGTTTTGTCAGTGAGAAGGACAGAAAAGTGGGGGGTTGTCCACTCAGGACACATACAAATTTGGTGCCTGTTTTCTAACCTTTGATTCAAAACATTTCAGCACTTCTTGGAGTTTTACTTCAATTTTTTTAATAGGCTTTTATGTCCGCTAAATCACAGGAAAAGTGAAACAAAGCAGAATACTGTGCTAATTTAGCCATTCAAAGTACCTGCTTTGTTTGACAATCAGTTGAAAACACAAGGGAAAGAAATTCCAGCGTGTGGAGAGAGGTGCTTGTGATACTATTAAATGAGTTTCAGCAGTGCTATCAACTGGTTGTACATTTCCTAAAAGCAGACAGAAAAAGGAGACTGTAATGTGTTCTGGTTTTTCTAATGTGCTAACATTTCACAGGATAGAAATCAAAGTGAAAGTACATGAAATACCCAAGGGAGAAGGCTTGTTCGAAGTCCAAGGTGTTCATCAGCAACTCAGGGAAGTAGTGCTGGTAAGGTGGAAAGACCAGGCTTGTGGAGAGGGTTCCTAAAGGAAATGTAAGAGTTTTCCTAAGAGAAAAATTTCAGACAATCTTGCTAATTTGAAGGATGACCACAGGGATCTATGCAGCCTTTCAGCCATTCTGTGTGACTGACAGAGTTAAATATCAGTGGGAGGTCTGGTCTGGGGCATGTTTGTCTTTACTTTTACCTTTCAGAAGGACACACCCTATGCTGGAGTTCAGTGGAAGCCTAAAGGCTCCCCAGCTCCAAGTGGGGCTTTTGGAGGCCTTCAGGGAGGCGGGGAATTTGGTTCTCTTCCAGCCTCAACTATTCTGTGACTCTGTGAAATATTTGCAACCAAGAGGCAGTGAATGAGGCAGTGGAAGGATGAGGACAGACATATATCACTGCAGTGGGGTGGTATTTGTACTGCTAATTGCGATATTGTCTATCGGTAGAGCCATTTTTGGGGGATAGCTGACCCCACTAAAATACCACTCATATTTTCAGGCAGAACAGCATCTCCACCCCCATCCCCTGGCACCATTATAATAAGATTTACCAGCCAGGTCTAAAGCATGGGATCAAAAGGACAAAGCAAGTAACCGATCTCCCAGTATTTTGGGATGAAGTTATCACTGAGATTATCCAGCTTTCCTTAGTGACCAGCAGGGAAAGACTCCACAAGGCAAGAGCATGTACAAGCATAACTTTACTGTCCCATTAGCATCCTGAGTAACCCAGCCAAAAAATAAATCCAGGCTAAGGTAGCTAATAACCATTCAAAGCCTTCCTTTCATCTGTCTAAAGGAAAAACACGCCTGTTCATACTTCTGGTACTTTCCCTATCCTCTGTGCCATGAGGCAAGTGTGCCTTGTGTGAAAGAGCAGTTCATTTTGTTGGTGTAAACCTACTTCCTTGACAACTGAACTGCATGCCTCATTCTTTCTGTGTTGTAATCTAATCATCTATCCCTGTTCACATTTTCTTTGCCACTCATTAGAGTGGCATTAGATTATCTTCTCAGTCACTCTTTTCTGCAAGCTGGAAGTCCAAGCTTTTTTCATTTCTGTTCACAAAAGGTTGTTTCTTTCATTAAAGTGTCCATGTCACCCTTTGCAGCAGTTTTTCAAGTTTCAGGAGGGGATAGGTGAGGCAGGCTGCAGTGGTCAAGTCGTGAGCAAATATAGGTTTATACAGCAGCCTAAGTGTTTCCTTGTTTGTAGTTTAATTCTTCTTGACTGCTCTTAAGTCTCCATTTGTCTTTTTTGACCACTGGTAGGTAAGGAGACATCAAGTTGAGAGAGCTATCCACACTGAGTCCAACATAAGTGGATGGTGATAACTAATATAGAACCCACTGTTGAAAAATACATAACTGAAGCTGCTTTTTAATTTTTTTCTGAAATGCTTTACATTGCACTTATCAACACTGATTTTTTTTTTTTTTTTGCCTAGTATTTGATCACTCAGGCACTCAGTACCCTGAGATTCTTTGGCAATTTTACAGCTGGGTCGCTTTGACAGGGAAAGAAAAACCCCATCAGATTCACAAAATGTACCACCGCAGTATTTGCTTCCTTTGCCAGCTCATTTACAGATCTGCTGAACAGCGCATGTCTTATTAAATCTCCATGAGTGAGGGCTCTTGCTCCACTCCCCCAGTCATTTGACTCCCAACTTTTAACCACTCATTGATCTGATCCCAATGCTAAAATGGAGCTGCCAGCCAACAGGGAAATGGTTTGGGCTGAAGATACTGCCTATCTGTCATGCGGAAAATGTGGCAGTGGGACAGGGTGTGCAAAATTACTCCTTCATGGATGGTAGTCCTTCCTCTTCAGAGATTTACTTCTTTCAAGGATTGCCAAAAAATGAAGAGGGATTAGGGAAAGAAATGCTGTCACCCCCCTTTCTCCTGCTGAACTGGGTAGCATTTTTTGGTAAAGCAGCAGCAAAAAGGTGGTGAAATGTTCTTGAGCTGCTGTATAAGAGAGGAGGAGGGTGAGAAAACAACATGTCCCACATGCTGTGGTGCTCCCTGTGGGGCTCCACTGGACCTAAAAGCTCATGCCATGGTCTAGCATTAAGCCACTTCCTATTGTTGCTGAGGAACATTGAAGACCAAGAGATGCCTGTCAACCACACTTGTCCATCGGGTGCACATACAACACATTCAATTTCTGTCAGTCTGGACACATTCCCAGAAAACACCTTGGGATTTCGGGAGGTGTGGTCATGGGGAAGAAGAGCGGGCAAAAGCTGCACACTGGGCTGTTCTGGTTCAGTGGATCTGCTGTGCTGGGCAGGCTTGGGCAGTGCCTTGGAGGCCTCCCCAGAGCCAGGAACACAGAGACAGCCTTTGTCCAGCTCTTCTGCCTATGTTCTGCCAGACTGGGATTGCCTGGCTTCTGGCACTGGCTCTCTGAATCACTTGGAAATTTTCCCTCCAAAATTTCTCTTATCTCTTTGGAATAGCATTTAAAAATTTCTTTCTATGGAAAGCTGCTCTGGCCACCTCACTGTGATCTGAAATAGAAATACTGGGAAAAGTAACATTTCCTGGGGATGGAAATGCTGCTTGTCTCCCAGTTTTGCTGGAGAGATGCTGGAAGCATTCCTTCTAGATATGACCCTCTTTTAGCACCTCATTCAATTCCTTGCTAGTCACGTGGCTCTCCCAAGAGAGCTACAGCTCTGACATTGCTTCAGATTCATCTTCTTAATGATCACAGCAATCAAGATTCAGAAAGGAAATATTTTTTAGGGGAAAAAGAAAGGATAAGTGGGCTTTGTATCAAAGAGGTTCATTGACCCATTATTGAAGAAGCAGAAACGAGAGATAAAAACAGTTTTGTATTCATTTCATTCATCTGTGACACAAAACAATGCAAGCGGAATCATTCATTGCCTGAAATATCTGAGCTCATAAAAATCTGCTCACTGCTGTAAATCCATTAGTAAATCACTGCATAATGAGCACACTGCACCTTTAAAAACTATTAATTGAGTTCCTGCCCCAATTTATTCCTTACGCTTTTGTCTTTCATAACGGAAATACCTTTCAATTGTCCTGAAAGCTGCTTTATACTTATTTCAGAATAGGCCCAAATAGTATTTAGTAAAGATATTTTCCAGGACACTATCATGTGAATGGGTGTGTGTCTACACCAAATGTTGACTTTTATGTCTAATAACTTGCTCAGAATATTGGATTTATCCCTCCCTAAAGGGCAGAGCTATGAGCCTGATTTATTTGTACTAGCTGGAGCTTTCAATATACACATATGGCAAGATCTTATACACAAAAGTAAATCATGTCAGGTTACTTAAACAGAAACACCCTTCTGATCACTACACCAGATAAAAATTGAGCTTTGTCACTGTGAGTCTCAGTTTGGAAAATTGATCTGGCCAAATTAAATGTTTCTACAGCACCCAGCACCATGGAACTCTACAGGGTCTAGAGGGAAAAGCAGCCTCTCTCCAGCAGGGATAATCATATCCATATTCTCCTCTTTGGGTTAATCATTAGCTTTCTGAATGCTTCCAGTCTTCCTTCTGTTCGTGTGGGAACACTTTAGGGAATCCTGTCTATTTACAGCCAGTGGATTTATATTCCATGAGCGCCTGCAATGGATTTTTGAGTGCCAACACTGTTGCTTGGGAAATTCACAGGACATCTGGAATAATTTGATGTTTTCACTTTTTTTTTTTTTTTTTAATGTCAACATTTTCCCTTTAGTGGAGGGCTACAAGATTTGGATGCACCTTTCTTACAACAACAACCCCAGTGGGTTTGGAGCTTGGATTTTAATCTACTGGGGGTGTACAATGCCAGACTGCACAGTACTAGGGATGATCCTAGCCAAGTTCAGTTTTCTGGTTTGAAATCTACTTGTATTACCTTCCACTGCTCTTGGAAATACAGGGTGATCACTGAAGTGTCTGAAACACCTTTGAAGCTATGATGATGAACAAGGGTAGAGCTACAGCAGCACAAATCCAAGTTCCTGAGGATGAATTCAAACTTCTTCAGGGGTTATTCTTCTCCATGTTTAGCCAGAGAAATGGGTCAGGTTACACATTCAGATAAGAATTTTCCATACACAAGATAACATTGTCCTCCCATGTGTATAACAGAATATTTACCAGGCTGAGAATGTGGCTGTTTTGGGACTGTTTCTTTTCAGTAATGTTTATTTTAGTTAATTTTGAAGCGGGGAAAGAAGCAGCCTATCCCTGTCCCATGATTAATGTAAGGCTGACCATGAACAAGATAATAATAGCCCCATCCTCTGGGAACTGGGCTTCTCCCTAATTGCTTTATTGGCAATTAGTCACCATGTGTCACTGGACTGTCACCACCCTCATGTTCATTTTTCATGCCTTCTACAGAAAGTTACTGCTGACTCTACAGGGTGTAACAAGAGCTTCTGTTTATTACCAGGCTTTTCTTAGCTCTTCGAGGACTTGCTATTGGTGTCCTGGTGAGGCCAAGGATTGGGACAGACATTTGGGCTGAACATGTGTTTGTGTCTAAGCACCCTGCATGGCAGCATAGACTTTACTGAACCAGACCTGTGACCTAAAGGGCTGAATCCCTACTGGCTGAAATAGTACCTGCTAATTGTGATAAAGGGAGGGGAAAATCACACTTAAAACAGCTGCTTTAGGTGCCTCAGAATTGAACAAAAATCTATGTGGGTTCTGATGAACCTGCTTGGGTTTTTTGTTTTTGTTTTTTTTTTTTTTCTTGTAAAGATATGTCTGTTCACCCTAGGCCTTGATAGGAAACATGGGGCTTTGCAGCTGAACTGGGTGATGCACAACCTCTGATACTTCATCCTGGGTGACCCTGGGCTGGTTACCCAGCCTGTGTCAGCACCTCCCTACCTCCACTGCTGTGGGTCTGCACAGGGAGAGGGCCAATCCAACAGTGTAGCTCTCTGGGCTGTGGAAAGGATAGGGAAGGAAGACTCTCTTTTCCCTGTGCTGGGAAGAAACAAAATATTTTGGGACAGTTCACACAACTACAAACTATAGTCATTTTGTTGCCCAGGAAGACTCAGTCTCTGGAAACTAAAGCTTGCAGAAGCCCTTGTTTGACAACAGGCATGGTGAAATCATGGTCTCCTCCTCCCCTCATATATTTTGATAATAAAGGAATTTCTGGTGGAAAAACATTGCACTAATCCTGTCCTCTCCCAAGCACCACCCTTCCCAGCTTCTTCAGAAACTGATGAAGTAACCAGCCACAACTTCAGAGACTTTGCTCTAAGTAAATATATGATTCAGAGTAAGATCATGGCAAAAGAGATCTCATCCTGAAAGCTGTAGCCCTCTTTCCATTTAAGCATCACCAGCTGATCCAGTGTTTGCAGTAGGTTGCATTTCCCATATTGCATCGCTCTGGGACAACCTAGCCTTAAAAAGGTCACCCCAAGAGTTCAGTGAACTGAACTGACTTGGTGCAAAATGCAGGACAGTGGGAGAAGTATTTTACTGCAAGGTTCTATTCTGCCTTTGCATGTCTGACAAATCTGGTTCATCTTGATCTGCTGTTTAGTGTTAGAGAAAATGAAGCAATTAGAAAAGCAATATTGGTTTAAACCACAGTAATATGACAATTTTACACATAATTTGGAGAACTGTTTTGTAACTGTGCACATATCTAGTTCTTTACCAAACCCTCCTAGTGCCCTCCCCAAAAAATCCCACCCTCACTACCTGTACATGATTTAAAGAAAAAAGGAAAAAGACTTCAAACCAAAACACAACCTCCTAACCCTAAAATTCATTAGTTATAAATTGTTTCATTCAAACTTCAGTAAAACTTCATTTTTAGTTGGTGATGTCTGGATCTTTGCTTCTAAGCACTTGAAATCCTTATCCAAATCCCTTTGAGTTCAGCAAAAGAGATTCTGTTTTTGTAACTTCTGCACCTAATTCTCACCTTAGATCATTTTGAGCTACTTGGCACTAAGATCAACTGCACTGGGAGTCCCTAGAAAGAAGAATCTGTGTTGGCTAAATAGTGGAAAAGCTATCTAGCAATTGCTTTACAGGAAATATCCTGGCATATTTTGTTCATTCCTGCTGAGATACATCCAATGGTCAACCATTAACATAGGAAGTGTGACCGAGCTGGCTTTGTACATGTCCCTTCACCTCGCCCATCTGAATTGCATCACACATCTCTGTTTAGTCTGTTAACTGGGATACTGCTAAAGTTGTCTCCTGACCAACTTTATTTAATCACTTTGGGTTAGTAGAAGAGATTTAGCCAACAGCTATATCCCTCACACAGGCTTGCAGCTCACAAACAAAACAGCTCCCTGAAGAGCAAGAACAGATTTCATTGAGGAACATGCTAATGAAAGCTGGATGAGTTTCCCTCATTAGGTGTAATTACTTTAGGTTTTGCAGGCTGTCTTCTATGGGGTGTCCTTCCTGGCTGATGTGTTGAGACTAATTAAGAAACTGCGATGTGCTAAGTGCGTAATTTCCAGCAGAGACCTTCTTTTCAGTGTCCTGGCTTTCCCAGTGTCCATGGTAAGTATCCTTTGTCTCTGGATGTGAAAATAATGTTTGCATAAATGATTAGAAGTGTATAGTACCAAAAGTATGTGTATGAAATAGGTAAGAACCAAGGGCTTTCTTATACTTTTGATTTTGGAATGGATTTGGACCATTTAGAAGAGGAAACAATGCTGAGCCTGTTGTGGTTGAAAGCAAAGCCTCTTGCACAAACATTAGGGTTGCTGTCCTCAAGCGGACACAGATTGACCCCAAAGGGTGAATGAGGTGTAACCCCTCTGTTAATCTCATGGTCCAAATAGCTGTGGACTTATCAACTTAGGGCTTTTCTCTAAAGGGCAGCACAGGTCAGGAGGACATGAGAGGCTACCTTAGAGACAGCAAAACCTCACATCTCCTTCTCTGATGCCAGAGTAGCTTTAAATAAGCACTGGAGAGCAACAGATTCACGGAAAAATAATTATAGTCACAGCCTACGTCAGATTCATCATGGATCACCTACTCCCTCACAGACAATGCTGTTTATCAAGATGCCGTGGGTTGGACAGGAACTGATGGGTTATTTATACATGTAGGTACACTCTGTGAGAGTGATGCCTGCAGCCACCTCACCAGCTGAATCTCACAGGCGCTGTTTAAACGTGGTCCACAAGCAGCTCAGCTAGCTGGCTCCATAAAAAGCCCTGCCAGGGATGGAGTCAGAGAGACTGGATAATTACCTTCCCTGCACAGCAGTGTTCACTGTGCTGCTTTCATATCCCACCAGGCATCCGCACCATGCCCACAGGACTGTGGCATAGTCTCATTCTTCCAGCATCTCATACCCCTGACTTCTAACCCCAAGCATAAAGTGTTCCCAAATACAAAGACAAAAATTGCAAATCAGCTTCCAGGTATCAGTAACTGAAACCAGGCATCATTTCCTCCAGTTAAGTTGTCCCACTAGTTTTACTATTGGGAAAAAAAATGGGTGCTCACAGCGTGCAGCTTTCACCTGCAGTTTAGGAATTAGGTTTATGAATTGTGAAGGTAAAGGGTAAGTCTATGTGAACTGCCTTATCAAGATCTGTTTTTACTTTGTTACTGAGCAAAACAAAGGCTTGACAGACAGTCCCTTGAGGAGAACTACTTGACCATCAAAAGATCCCATCTGCAAAGGGAAAGGGAAAAAAAAAGCAACAGCAGCTAATCTCAGATTCCACAGAAAATGTCAGTGTTGGCAGTTTATAAAGCAGGGTTTTTTTCTCTCAGTATCAACACAGAACACTGCATCTCTGAGTAAATGTGAGATAACATGGGTTTATCTGGCAATGTCATCATTTTTCATGTAAAAAAACACGGAGACGTTTTTGCCTTCTCAGAAATGAAAGCACTAACCAAATCCTACCAGTTCTGTTTGTCTTCTATTTTTAAATTTCTTTCATTTTGCATTTTGGTTCCAGTTTGTATGTATATCCTTTTGGACACTGTATACCTACAACCGAGAGCTGGTTTACCCCAAAAGTCTTGATGGAGTCATCCCGCTCTGGTTAAATCACGCTATGGTGAGTAAGAAACACCTCAGCCTCTTGCAGAGAAAAGGGAGACTTTGCAACGTGTGCCTCACCATTGCATTGTGCTGTTTTCTGAAAGAGCTTCACAGCTCTTCCCTTCTCACCTCCTCCTTCCTGCTTATCAGAATCTGATGTTGAGCTGTACACAGCAATCAGATGCCTGTGCTTGAAGCTGCCTCAAGAAGCCTTTCAGCACACAAGGAGTGTCAGTGAATCGGTGCTTGTCAAACCTCTGAAGTCAATGAAATGATGTGTAGTCACAAGGAAAGAAAATCTCACTTATTGTGGTTCAAAAAAAGAATTGTGTCTGCTAAGAGAAATCTCTGAAATACAAAATGGCTATGAGTGTAACAAAGCAGCTCTTAATTTTCAAAAAAAGGTGAAATAACAAAAGAGACTCTGACAGCTCTACAGCTAATAAACTAATGTGTGCACAGTTTTGAATAGCTGGATTGCAATGATTGTTTACAGATTTTCTATAAATACTTTCCAGATTTCTCCTTCATTTGTTCTGGCTGTTTTTATGATGTGTTGAATAATCACATATTTCTCATCAGTCAAGTGAAAGGAGGCTGACAGTAACATGGAAACTGTGGGTGGATTGCAAGGTCAGGGAGGCCTCGTGGGGTGAATGGGAAGTGGGAGAGAAGGGAGAGGTTCAGCGCTAGGCTGAACAAGAGAAGCCAAAAAGTATGAAATAATTTTATAGAAGACTCATTTCTCTCCAGACCTCATTTCTTAAGAACAGTGCCTTGCCATCCACTGCAGCAGTCCCCAGTGAGTGTTGAAGGTAAACCTGGGAGGGTTTGGGGTGTCTGGCTGAGGACAGCTCAAGGTTTGAGCAGCCCCTTGATTTAGACAGGTGCATTCAGAGTTGTGTGCCTGGAATCCAAACACACAGAAGCATGTCCGCATTGCTGATACCCGAGTGGTGAACCACAGCCACCGTGCACTTTTAACCTCGTCACCTGCTCTCTGTCCACCAGTTCATTTCCACCAGCCACTTTCTGTGGCTGTCCAAACCTCTTCACAGGTACAAAAGGGGACTGCTCTCTCTGAAAACCATCATCCACCAAAATGAACGATTCTTCATGTCCTCAGCATCATGCTGGTTTCAGGTCCAGGATTTAGTATGGGGAACTGGTTTAAAAAAGCCTCACAGTGGTGGAGGTTCTGGGCAAGGGGGGAGGGGGGTAGCACAAAGTGAAGCTCAGAGAAGATAGGCTTTGCTGCTTGTTTTAATCCTGGCTCACAGCTGAGAATTTGCCCTTTCCATTTCCACATTTGTTTATGACATGGGAAGGTTGAGAGCTGTTAGGGCATACATTTTTCTTTCATGTGCAAGAATTCTTTGCAGGAACCCCTCAAACATATCAGTTATAACTTCTTCTTAACCTACCTACATCTACGTTTCATAACAGAGTTATTTTGACTACAACAAAAAGCTTTTCTGTAACAGAAATGTCAAAAACAGGTGTTAAAAAAGGAAAAACAGCTCTTCCTGAAAATTATTTTGACGAGAGAGAAACTTCACATAAAGAAAACCTCTATCACAACCTGGTATTTTATTTCTAAAGCTCTTAATACACTGCAGACATCTTGTGCTTGACAGTTCCTTGGTAGGAAATCTTCCTTCCAGTCATTATCAGGCATAAAACATCTGCCACCAGCACAGACTGATCCCTGCTATCGACAATCCTTGTGTTTTAGAGCACCTTCCAACAGGTGCCTTCAGGCTTAGCTGAGACATTTCTTCCTTCCAACACAAAATATCCGCTGGAAACACTAGGGAGACCCAGAGACATAGCAACACTTTAAGGGACAATCTCCAAGTTCTGATTGCCAAGCAGACACTTTTTCTTTGGGTTCATTTCCTTGCATATTGCTATTGCATGATGGCTCTGAGATTACAGGCATTTCATGACAGATTGAGGCAGCATGTAGCTGGCTTTGGAGGAGAAAGACATGGGTGTATCAGTAGTAACCATCAGTGCCATATCATTTGCAGTAGGAGTTCTTTTTTTTAAATCTCAGTTTATTTTAATGTTGTAAATATGGAAAGCATATGTTGTTATGCAACTGGAGAGTGAACCTAAAAAAATAACCATGCAAAAACCACTTCAGGAATACTGAGCTCCTTGGCTTTGTGGTGATGATGCAGCACCTTCCTTGCAGAAATGAATAACTATCTTTTTCCTCACATGGCCTGCTTTTACAGTGGGAAAGAATTGTTGGTGCCCACTTGGCAGCCCAGAGCTGCAGAGAGAGCACTACAGTTTAGCCATATTTTTGCACTCTGAGCAGAAACATTTTGTTTTGCAGACAGGATGGTTAATGTAGAAAGGAATTTTGCTCATATTTGAAGGAGACCAAATATTCCAGACTGTCTAGGTTTCTCTCTTTGCTTTCCTACTGAGTTTAACCCAAAGGCTGGGCCTCAGTTTTCTCTTTTGTTTGCCTGGGATAATTATGTTTTACCATCTATATACAAAACCTTGACCTTTGGGATTGAAAAAAGTCCGCTCTACTTATATCTCAAGCACAATTATTTTATTTGAACAAGATTTTTGAAGTGGAAGATGGCTGAGACAAAAGATACGCTGGCCAATTTGTCAAGTGAATTTGTTTATTTCTTTCCTATTCATCTCTTTTCAAGCTATGTCTGGATATTCTCCAGAAGGAGACTAACTGCTGGAGACAGCTTGGATTAAACCATATGCATGTATTATTCAACTTAATGGCAGTATTGGGGAACACTGCACCTTGAAGGGTCTGACAGAATTGAATGCTAAATAAAGTGTGCCATTGGTAGGTCAGAAAAGGCAACTCAAAAATGTTTTGATCTATAACAAAAGATACATATAAATGTAGAGCAGATGTGCTCACAAAAATGGTAATGGTACAATTGTGTTTTTGTAAAAGAAGATTTATATTTTCAGTCTGTAGGCACAGTTCTTCTCAAAAGCATGATTTTCTTTATTTTCAGACTGCAGCTAAGTTGAGTTTGGCCACCTCTTTTTCTAATTTACCCTGTAGCTGTGTTACCCTTTCACCTTTACAAAAACCAGCATTTTAGCTCCCCGGGCACTCTGCTGACACATGGTTATGAATTGTGTATGTTCAGAAGATTTTGTAAGCTAAAGAGCTGAGAATAAACAAGGAAGGAAGGTAAATGGAGGCTCAGAAAAAACATCTCTTACCTGGCAGACTTTTGGCAAAGATGACAACAGATCCCCTACTGCCTGAACTTCTGAAGCTCCGGTGCACTTTGCCCTGTTGTGGCTGAGCTGTACCTGAAAATAAAAAGAGAAAATGCAAGGCAGTGAGAGAACAAGTAAGGTACATACAAGTAATTTTCCTTCACTGAAGCAGGCCACCAATGCCCCACTGTAGGAGTACCAGCAGGACTCAACCTTGTCCCTTCTCATCTTGGAGCTTCTTGGCATATAGAAGCTGCTTGTGTTCTGCCTACGTAGCTAAAACTCACCTTTCCCTGTGTGGACACATCTACATCAACAGAAATGGTATTTCAGATCAGTGTGATTCACTTCCATCTGGAAAAAACGTAAGTTATGTGAATATAAATTACTCTCATGTGAGGGTATCTATGTGAAGGATTACATCTTACTACAGCTATTTCAGGAAGCTGCTGCATCACTAACCAAAAGAGGGGGCACAAATTCAGTTTGTAGGGCAGAACCCTCTTGTCCAGGCCACTCGAACTCAACTCCTCCTCCAGGTGTGTACACGAGAACAACCTCAGGTTCATCTCTGACCATCTTAAATGATTTGCTTTTCAAGTGTTATTTAATGCTTAATAATTCTTACATTTCTACACAAGGGAGAAACATTTCCATTTGTTTGCATTTCACAGTATCTCAATTTTAAGCTGTCTGGCAACTATGGACATTCACAGGCTGCCAGTTACATTCAGCTTTTGGCAAAAGAAGAAGAATGTGTGTGTGAGGAATATGGCACACAAAATTAATCACCCCACACTTTTAAGAGCAAAGATGCTTAGCTTTTCCCAGCACTATGCAGATTTTTTTTGAAGTTTCCATTTTTGTTGACATAAGCCCGTTTCCTCAGGGAGAAAGTATGTGTTTCACAGACAAATGTTATGGCAGGGAATCCTCCCGGGCTGCTGCTACCCCAGCATGCACAGGTGCAGTCTCTGTAACCCTCCCCACAAAGAAACAGCTGGAGAAAAATATTCCACAGCAAAGGATGTGTCACTTCAGTCTCATGTCAGCCTCCAGCTGCAATGCAACATCACTTTCTTAGACTACATATCTAATGTCAGAGAGAAAGGCAATTAAGATTCTGGCATTGACATTGAGACAAAACATTTGCTAGTAAGCAATAGGATATTCAGCCAGGGCCTTATTCCCAAATATGCATGTGTGCAGGCAAGAAACTTTATCTCTGAAGCTCTTTTACCTTTGATCATACAATTGGTCTAATGTTTCACCCATTTTTCATGATAATGCTCCCAAACTACCTACACATCTGAGAAAAAAATATTAATGTTTCTTTACGGGTGAGCGTGAATGGATGTGGAAAGGGCAGAAACAGATAGTAGCTGATGGTTCAGAGAGGAGTGCTGCTGAAATTAAATTGAGCAATAGCTTCCTCGCTAATCTCCTACACACCTGCTCAGTAACAGGACTCCCTGTGCCTCCTCCTCTATCCACAAAATAAATCTGTGGTTCCCTGAAAACGCGCTGATGACTGGAAACACAAAAGACATGCAGCAAGCCTAGGAGAGAATTATTTCTTCAACTAAAAATGGCAAGGTACTACTTAAAGAAATAAAAGGAGCAATAATGCATAAGCCCTTTCCACCCTGAAAAACAGAGAGGTTAAGAGAAGATGAAAAATGTATAGGGAGAGATTGCAAAAGAAAATTTTGAAGGAGGCTTTTGAACACAGGCAAAATAATAGCAAAATAAATCAAAAGAGGGAAATAGTTCCAAACTTAGGCCAAGAAAGGAGAGACCATACAATGATTTGGAAAATTATGAGCATAAAACTAAACAGAGGTTATGGTGACAGGAAGCTGTTTAATTTTATTATGCTCAGATAACACAGACTGTAATTGTTCATGAAAGCATCCAACTGAAAGAAATTTCCACAGACAGGAGGACGTTTCCCAACAAAGAATATCTGAGTAAACACCTCAAGAGACAACCAATGAACTGGCTTACGAGCCTCATAAGGCAACACCAAAGTGGGTTTTTCCTTTTCCTTTGCAGTAACGTAGTGATGGGGAAGAGAGAAGCATGAGTATTGGCCACAACTGGTTGTCAGCACACAAGCTCTGCAGGGAATTGGTCTGAAAGGAGAAACACAGGCAGTTTTTCAAAAGCAGTTGATGGTCTCCAACCGTGCCCAGTGGAGTTTAGTTTGGCCAGTGGTAACTGTTTGTGAAAAGATCCCTCCCTAAAGTCTCACATGTTAATGGAAAGCAGACATGGAGGGTATGCAGATGCAGACGAATCAGAAACAAACAGCTCTGGTCAACCGAGGCATCATTTCCTTCACTCTGGAGTCAAACAAGGTCACACCAAGTCAACTGCGACACACGCGTCAGGAGCACAAGTGACCTCAGCAGCTCTGGGGAGATTATTCATGGGCTCAAAGCTCAGCCTAGGCTAGAGCCTGCAGCTGAGCACAAACCCTACCCAACCCCGTCTTCTCAGCCCCAGGAAACTCACTCTTACTTGAATCCTCAACGGCAAAATGAGGATATAGAATTATATAAATACACAAATTACTCAAAATACAGGACATAAAAATTCCATACGGTCTTAGCAAACACTGGAAATAATATTCAGAGAGGACTGTTTATCTCAGCTTAAACTCATGAACCTGAAATGTATCCTGGGAAACATACAACACAGGGTAGGAAACAAAAAGTAAGGAAGCAGGGGAATGTTCTTGTCTGCAGGAGATGGGTTAACATGCCAATATCTGAGATAAAGTTCAGAATATGTTTAAGAAACTTTCTTCCCCCTGTATTCATATGCCAGAGTTTGTATGAGCAACAAAAAGAAATTTGTAGAAATTTTATAACTAGTTCAGATTCATCTGAGTTTTTCAGGAAAGAAGAAAAGAAACTTAAACCAACTGGAAAATCATAATGACTGCCAAAAAGAGACACAAAGGATTTTAAAATTGAATGTTTGGAAGCAGAATTCAGGCTGAAAAAGTGTGATTAGTTAACTAAATATCTCTGATAATTTTGAAAGTCCCATCACTTTTGTCTCTTCACTGTAGAAAGAAATAAAAAAAATTCAGCTCTTGCAAAGCTGAAAGCTTTCTTCAACAAACAGAGGTTGTTAGACAAATAAATACATTAATATTTCAAAGAACATAAAAATAAGTACCAACAGGATCCTTGCCAAGAGTAGGAAAAGCTCTCTGATTCAGTTGGGTTCATTGATAGCCTGATCAGTACACACAGCTATTGTTTTAGCCTGTTTTCCTTACCTTAGAGTAAAATAGGGGTGTTTTTTTCCCCCCTCCCTCTGTGATAATTATTTTTGACAGTTTCACTGCTTATATGTGAAACTGAGAAACTGTTAATTGAAATAAAAAATGAGTCACTGTTTCCAGCAAGTTTTGCCAATGTTTTGATCTGTGTCAATCTGAGCTTAATCATTAAGTTTTCTTTAAAGGAAGAGGCAAAACTGTATATTTTAATTTGGCCCCATACAAACACTGTGCTCCTCAGACATACATCAGTTTAAGAATACGAAACACTGTTGAGTAGGACTGAAAATATATTTAATGACTATACACCAGAGACCTATGTTTAAAAATAATGCATATGAGAAAATACTTTTTTATTTTTTTTTTGAGAAGGGTATGAGCAGCCTTTATAGCCTCTCAGCAGATCTGATTAACCATGATATATGGTCTATCACTAATGATGTTGCCAAAGTCAACGTCTCTGGGCTGTGAGAGGGAAATCATGTGGAAAGCCAACAGTGTGTCGTAGGCAAAGGGCAGGCTCTGGGCCCTGCAGCCATCCACACATTCCCCTGGTGTCTGCTCTACAAATACTCATCTGCTGTCATAAACTTGCTTGGGTATGCAATAGAAATTCCTCTGTGATTTTACTGTTAATGCACAAATTCTGCCTGGCAGAAATAGATTCTGGGACAGCTAAAGTGCAAGGGAAGATTTTCCCACATGTTTATGAGCCTGGGGTGTATGTGTACATGAAAAGGGAATTGGGGGGCAGAGGGGAAAAATGAAAAAAAAACCAAAACCCTTTATATCCACAAAGGAAAAATAATAAGATTTTTAAAAGATCATCCTGGGGGTGCTTGAGAAAGCTCAGAACTGTTGCAGAACTCTGTCTCAAGAAGGCATTTTCGCAGCAAATTTAAATGACTCTACCAAAAAACCCCATCTAGCTAATATGCGTGGCAAAATATATTTTAAAAGATACAATTATTTGAATGGAAACACAGCACACAGTCATGGGCCAATGACATCACTGGATTTGGGAAGAGAGCAGCTTGCAGCTTTTTCTTTTTTTTTTTTTTTTTTTTCTTTTTAGGTTTTTTTTTTGGGTTTTTTTGCATTTGTTTTTCCAAATCAGGATAGATCCAAGACCTTTAAGAATCTGTTTGCAAAACAAGAGGCAGACAGTCCTACTCCTGAATGCTTTTGCTGTCCTTGGACATGGAAACACTCTTACAAGAAGTGGAAAGCTCATCGAAACAGGAAGAGCAGAAATTTCAACCTACCCCTTCCACTAAAGTCCTGGCTATTCCCAAAAGCAGCCAGATTTTCCAGTTTTGCCAGTAACTGTCAAGTTGTTATTGATTTATAGGCCTGAGTGTTTTCTCTAAGTGGAAGAGCCTGACAAAAATGAGTAGGTAAAGCATATCAGCCTTTTCTAAACCAGCACAGACTAAAAAGCAGATCTCCCAGCAATCTTTTGCAGCCTGCTGCTCAGCAGCAGTGCCAATGCATGGCGTGTTTGAGCAGCAGGCTGCCCTTCACAGCCTCTCCCTGTGACCATATCCTGCTGTCCACATGTTGTCTGTGTTCTGCTGGAGCGTATGTGCTTCCCAGCAAGAAGCTACATCTCTCTTGTGGAACACTGAGCCACTCACCCCTGGTCATGGACACGATGGACATGGAACACTTGCCCATCACACTCCTCACTGCATCAATCTCTTAAGCCTTTGAAACTTCTCATTTTCCTTTCCTCTCTAGATGGAACAACACATTCAGTGCACTCACAATTTCTATGCGTGCCTTTGGGCTGCCTCACTGTTCATACTTTCTGGCTCTTTGTGCTGCTCTTTCCTGGGCATGCTCCAAAATACCTGTCAAAATGAGGTGCTCTAAATCAGTGTGCCAGCCAAAGGCTTAGGCTAAAGCCTCAAAATGAGGACAAGGTGCAGGTTTTCCATCATTGCTGCCTTGCCATGGGCATTTTGGGTTTTGTTCAAGGACAAACTGTTGTTCAGCTATGGAAAATAAACTCTTTCAAATCTTTTTAAAAGCAGCTTAACACATAGATTTCTGACTAAAAGAAGTTACAGGGATTATATATGAAAACTGTGTGCACTGAAGATATTTTTCTGGTTAAATTAATCCAAGAATCACTTGTACTGATATGAGACCTCTGCAATCAACCAAGCAGGCTGTAGAGCTGAAAAATATCTTTGTGAAACAGAACAGGAGAAAATCCCAGTGCCAATTACTGAGAGGAACTGGAACATCAAAGAAATATTTTCTATCTCTTTTCTCTGAAAAAGGATAGCTGAGGTGGAATAGTTATTTTGATAGAAGGATAGCCACGTAGACAGCTCCTGGTTGTGGTAGGAGGGCTGAGGGAGGACACTCAGCTTCCAGGGAGTGGTCACTTGGAAGCAGCAGACAAAAGTGGATGTCCATCTCTTGAACAAATAGCTAAATATCTGTATGTTGTTGATAGCTCACTGTACATTTGAAGAATTTAATATGTATTTTTCACAACCCGTAGCATAGATATATGGCATATTACCATATGAGATACTGACCACAGTTTCTGAAAAGCAGAACCATTTCCTTGGGACAAGAGGAATCTTCATACCATACATCCAGCAGGTTATGCCTTTAGGGAGAAAGGAAAAAAAAATCCTTAGTTCGACCTTTTTTTCTATTTAAAAGTCTATCTATCTTTCTCTGTTGCCCTCCTCCCATACCTCCCCCATCTACCCATGAAACTATTTACTTAATTAGCAGGAATTTAAGTACCTAATCAGCTACAGTTGTTGCTATAGTTTTCTCCTGATGCATTTCATTGACTAGTTTTGCTTTGTTTTTCCCCAACATTGTTTAAGCCATCTGTATTGCAATTCAAATTTATTGTTTCCTTGCACAGGGAATACAAAATTTTCAGTAGGGAAATTTCACCCAGGAAAATTATTTACTGAAATTGTTACAAATCAGTCAAAAATCTAAGGAATTAGCATCCCATGAATCCCTGCATTGGCCATTTAAATTCTGAGCCCATAAGGCTTTCTGCTTTGCTCCCAACATTCCCCTGGTGAGGAACATCCCTCTTGAAGGCAGCTCCTCACCTCAAAACAGTCAGTGTCACTAAACTGTCTGCCCAGAGCTGAAAATCCTCCATGCTCATACAGTTACCATTAAAGTCCTTGAAACTGAAGCTACAATTCAAACTCTTCAATGAGAAAAGCAAAACAAAACAAAACCAAAAACAAACAAACAAAAAACTAAAAACAGAGAGAGAAAAGACACATTTCTCCATCAATTTTAATCCTTTCTGACTCTGGGATAAGCTTGTTTTAAGTTCCTTCACACCTTCAATCACAGCTAACTCAAGCCCCTTGTGTGTTTACAGCTCCATTTTTCCATTTACACAGGGAAGCACAACACACTGGGATTGCACTGGAACAAGTAATAAATGACACTATATAAAATACAATAATGACTAGAAGAGAACATGAAGGCAATTCAGCAATTGCTCAGTGAGTTCAAGGAGCACTCTTCTAACATCCTCAACCGCACATAATGATAGAGTTCAATATCTTTTGTACCCTAATAGGAATTATAAAAAAAATATTGCATTACAAAATGCAAAAGGAGAGCTCACCTGTTATAAACATAGACCATGCCACAGGCAAACCTTATTTTTACATTATATTAACAAGAAAATTTTTATGCTTATTACTCTAGGGGTACTTTTTCTCTGTAAAAAATAAAGTCTGCACATTTGTATACAATTATACTCAGTATTGTTAAATAATTTTTTGCTTCTGAGCAGGTGCCTGAACTCTGTGATCAGCAATGACTGAAGGCGAGGCACTGTGACCTGTCAGTGACACACTCTCTTTTTCCCTCAGCACACGGCTGTATTGCCATTTGCTCTCCTGGAAATCCTTGCCTTGCCACATCGTTACCCAGCAAAGAAGAAGGGATTGATCCTACTGGGACTTGTCGCTTTTCTGTATATCAGTTGGTAAGAATTTAAGTATTGTTTTTGTCAAGCAATCTACTTTTTAAAATAAGGCCAAATGCTGTATTTTAGATCGAGTTCCCACCCAGACACATGGAGGACAGCAGTCTTTTCTGTGGAGAAATCATTTAAACTTCAGCTGAGACCCATGAAAATTATTTCCAAACAAAAGCAAGGCAGGTTTCTTCAAACCCTGAGACCTTTACATAAAGGTCTTGTAAGGTCTCCTATAGGAAAGTAACTAAGTTGCCACAAATTTAGGGATAATTTGAGTAATTTCTTCTGGGTTGGAGTTTTTACTTTCACCGGTACCATCAAATTTGCTTCCACTCTCTGTCCTGCTCACTGCAAAACCACCTAAAATCCCTAAAGGTCTGGGGGTCATGGGAGCAGGAGAGGAGTTTAGTGTTTGGCAGGAACACGTGGCTGGTTTTAGAAACCTGAGACAGAAAATGATACCCGGAGCCAGGTGCAAACTGGTGGGTAGTGAGGAGGCATCTGCCCCACCACCACCTCCCACTCCACCAGTGGACACAGCCCACTTTTCCAGCAATGTGCCAGATGACCCCCAACCTGTTGGAGAATAATCCCAAGAGAATAAACTGTATCTAATCTGCACCTCCCACAGCTCATAGCCACCTGCTGTGTGTGTGTCATGCACCCCTGGAGTGGGTTTGCTCATTGCATCCTGGCTGCAGTGCCGGGATATGGGGGCACGGCCACCCCATGTAACTGTGGACATCTGCCAACACTTCAAAGCTCTCAGAGGATGCCTTATATTGAGACCAAACTCAGGAAGGGGGCTGTGTAATTTCAGGGTATGCTATGATAGAACTTTCCAGAGCTGAGGAAACATCCAGGCTCTAGGGTGGAGAATATAGAACACCTGTATAACAAGAGGTCAGCAAGAAAGTGACATGTCCTCATGCAAAGTCTTCTGAGAAGTCACTGGAACTATGAGGAAACCCATCCTTCCCATTCCTACTTACCAGTTCTCACTCTCAGCTAGAGACCATCTTCAGCCCAGGGAGCGAAAATCTGAAATAATAATTTCAGACAATAAACTGCTCAGATGAAACACTGGAGTGACTTGAAACCCACCAGAGTGGCTGTAGAAACAAGGGACTTCACTTACACATTATAGAAGCAAATTAGGAGCCATTTATTCTAATCCAGCCCAGAGCCTAATAGGATTACGACCATGGCTTCCTAAATTCATTTTCTATGTTCTGATTCACCCAATTGCTTAACACCAGATTTGTTTTGCTTGTCTTATGACAACATTTGGGTTTTACTGTCTTTGACACCAGACTGCTCTTAGCTTGTGAGCCATGCTTTCCCCTGAAATGCCTATCAGCTGAGCAATTTCATCCCTCAAGAGACATGGCTCATATTAGGACCTGAATTAGGACCAAAGGATAAAGATCAACACAAGCATCAACACATCTGAGCCCTTCCAGTATCTTCTGTGAGTTGGTGCTGCACTGTGTTGCTAGGGTCTTGAGTGGAAGCTGGTCCCTTAGAGTGCTTGTCCCCTGGGTGCCGGGGCCCTGATGACTGGATAAAAGATATTAGGATGTCAATACCATCCTCAAATCAGCAAGGAACCCCCTGCCTCCTTTCTTTTTGCCTCCACTCTGTGGTTCCCTGCAAACCACAGACAACGTCTTTCAACCAACAGAAAAGTTTTCTGGCACTTGCAGTGAAATCTCAACACATGTACACATTTTAATGTTGGTGCTAAAACCTGGTGATTTAATACCCTATTTGAGCACCATATGTTTCACAAGCAACAGAGCCCTTCCTCCAAGCCTCTCCCTGGACTGTCATTGCCATTGCTGCAGTGTCAATGGACTGAGAAGTGACTGGTCCCTCCCAGGCAGCAGAGAAACTCAGCAGCCAGTTACACCTCACACCAGACACCTGCCTCTGAGCAGGGTGTCACTGTGGCTTTGAACACCCTGCATTTGTTTGGATTTGAAAATACAGGTTGGAGTGCTTCATATGAGACACACCAGCTGGCCAAATTGAATGAAGATAATCTAGTTCCTCACTACATAAAAGAAAGGTGGTTGTCACTCCATGTTTCACTGTTGGAATATGAAAAGAGGAGTCCTGTGCAGTGAAGAACACATGCTGACATTTGCACTGGCTCTACTTTGCACCTGGGCTTCAGTGTTTCTGCTCAGCTCCTCAGGGGCCTTTCCTGCAGGCTTTATTTTCTTTTTTTTTCTTTTTTTTCTTTTTTTTTTAATTTTTAATTACTTAGATGTTTCACAGCTCTGTTTGTTAGATGAAAGAATCTTGAATCATGAAAATTAATCCCTACATTTAAATATTTCCATGCTCAGTCCAGACAGCTCTATTATCAATTCCCTCAATTTCTCCATTCTATTCCATAGGTGAGGACAGTAAATCTTAATTTACAGGCAAGACAAAACCATCTTTTTATAACCCACTCCTTCCTTCTTTTCCTAGAGAAAGGAAGAAGCATCTTTTCAGCCTTCTTTTTCCTCCTTAGCATTCGCCCATTCCTCAGTGTCACAACACAGTTTCAGGATAGTGTGGCAGCCCATTTGTCACTTCTCTTTGAGGCATGATGTTCAGGGTAAGGTAGCAGGCTGGGTGCCATCAGAAAAAATTGCAATTGCATTCCCATGTTAGCACTGGTGGTGGAAAGTATGGCATAATCCTCAGATGTGGGGTTTTTTTTAATAAAAAATTAAACCTTTTAGGACCATTTGGACCCAAAATTTTAAAAGTTTTAGGTAAGTACTGTCCTTGTTAAAATGGCACATCCTGATAACAATCAATGAAGACTTACCCTATTTTTGAAATTCTTTACATAATCAACACAAATATAAATAATTTTATTCACAAAAAAATATTCACAAAAAAAGTATTTTTTTCCCTATACTTAATATATAAAGATCACTTTTGTATTCTTAAATCCAGGCATTCCCTACCAACCACTCTTATAAGCCACAAATAATGAACGTATTACCAGCGAACTGACAGGCACTACAATATATTTTCTGAGAGAATAAAAAAGGCAGAAAGAGAGAGCACAATTAGAAGAAAAGAAACCCTATAAAGCAGGCATATTAATCCTCTTCTTTTTCCTTCTTTTCCAAACCATGCTTTGCAAACAGTTCTGTCACAAAAGGGTGAAGAAGCTACATCTGTTTCCCACCCAACTATTCCTCTTCTTTTCCTTCTCTTACAAGAGAAAAGGTGCTGGAGAATTGCCCTTGCCCTCTCACCTTCTGAAAACCTCTTTCCACTCCTCAGAGCAGTGGTCAACAGCAGAAAAATTGAGACAGAGAGGAACAGCTCTGTGTCTCCACAGACTCTAGGGATCTGGATAGGGGCTGAAAAGCTGTTGTAGCTAAAGAGTAAACATATGTGAGAGCTTATTTGAATAAGCTTCACTTAGCATAGCCAAGTGCACATCCCTGTTCCTGAACATTTTGCTATTTTACTGTGCTTTTACTGCTGTTAATAGCCAATGCCACCAGGGTGACAGCAGAATATTGTGTGCATTTCAACCTGCACTGAAAGCCATCTAATTTAGCACTGGCTCAAGTGTGCTTCACAGCAAATAGCCCAAGTGCCAAGGAGATGTATTGACAGCCAAGCTAATTTTCTCTGTATCAAGCCTGTTTTGATAACTCAGCCCCTCAGGAGTTGGAAATTTTGAAGTGGTTCTTCTAACTGAATGGTCCTAACCAAAGGTAATTTCTCTCCTTCCTTGCCTAGGGTCCTGTGGATTTATTCTGTAACGGGAGAGTGGGTATATCCTCTCTTTGCTTTGTTCAGCCCCCCTGGGCTAGCAGCCTTTTTTGCCGGTAGCCTTGCTGTCATCGTCTCCTTCTACAACTTCGGAGAGTTCCTCAACCGTATGATATGGGGTCAGTCCAAGTTTTCTTCACTACTTCTATGCATATGAATAAAATACCCCTAAAATGAATTGCTGTGATTACCCAGGCAGGCAGGGAGAGGAAGAGGGCATGAGTACCCTCATGAGGGGAAGGTGTTGGGATGGTGGCATTTGGGTGTCAGATTGTGATTGTTGGGTCCCATCCACGTGCTAACAAATAGGGGACAAACTAGAGCAAGGGTCCCAACCCTGCCAGACAAAGGTTGGACCAGCTTCCTCTAATTTGGCTCAAGAAGCACCTCTTGCCAGCATAATCGCTGGATTTTGAATTTCTGCTCAAAGAAGGGTCCAGAGAAGCCACATGTCTTGGGCTAAAACTTTATACCTGCATCACATGTTGTTTGTCAGACCAGGGAATAGCAGTGTTTACTGCAAATTTACAGGAATGCAATAGTGTATCCAAGCAAAAGCACTGTGGCAGCAGCTCCTTGACTAAAACAGCACTTTGGAAAGTTTTACAAACTCTTGAGAATTTTTCCCTTCTGCTTTGCTAGGGGTATAACCAGCTGTGACCTAAAAAAATGAAAAGAAGCTTCCTTGGACATAATGGGCAGTTGGAGGGAAAAAAATGTAGTTTAGGAAAGCATATTTAACAAGTGGAAGAAAGAGAGAACCGAGGAAGCACCTTTGGGGGTTTGGCATGGAATGCTATTACTATTATTATTGTTTCTGTCATTATTATTCCTTCTGGTTTCCTCACTTTTTTCATTCAAGATTGAATTTTTGAGGATGAAATTGTTTCTGTCAGGAAAATGTGTGTATTTTATTTAGGACAAATGTGTGAACATTTGCAATTTCTTAAACTAGCTTCCTGATGAAAGAAAAAACACTGCAAAAACACCTCTGAAAATAAATAAGACAACGTCCCTCTGTTCTCAGGGAACATTTGATGCCTTATCCATTTTGTGAAGTCTCACATGCCTGTCAAGCCAAAGCAGTGTCTGTAGCTAGTCTCTCACTATCCGCACTCAGCTACCTAAAAGCAGCAGATTGGCTTTAGAATGCGCTGAATAACCAACTTCACCACTTGCTACCTTTGCAAACAAGATGCTTGCTCTACGTGTCCACATTTGGAGATTTTGGCCACATTCTATTCTGCATAAACATAATACAAGATGAGAGTTGCTGGTAAATGAAAACAGATCTGCAGCCTTTCTGCACTAGCTCTGGTTTAAGAGGTGTCACATAAGTATTACTAATCAAAGATTGCACCATCACTACATAATGGCTTAAGTCTTTATATGAGATATCTGATACATCTATATATCAAATTTTTTTCATCACTGAGTCCATATTAGTAATTTCAGGTCTAGAATATGCCTTCTGCATAAGATGGAGATAATAAGAATTAAAACAATTTGATTTCCAAAGTGTTAAATGATTGGACAAAACGTTGTGCCAAGCAGAGATCAAATTAACTGCAAAAACTAGATGCATATTCAACAGCTGACTTAAGAAACCGGAGCAAGCACTCAACTTTACTGTGCACACAGAGAGGCTGAAAAGCACCCCAGTTGTGATAGCATGAATGTAACCTCAGAGTATGTATATAAACAATACAGAGTTCCCCATGCTGGTGCCAAGTGTTTTTCCTGATCCACTTCCCAGCTGCGTTCACCCAAGAGAAGAGCTGAACTTCCTTAAGCTGGTATCTATAATGAAGTCCCACTAAGTCTTGAAACATAGCCACAGGGAAGCTATTCCAAATAACAGTGTGCCAGAGTTTTAATATATTCCTGACTGAGACAATTTTTGGTTCAGCATTGCCAGAGAAGAAAGAGCTGCAAACTGAATGGAAACATGATTCCAACATACCTTTGTTCCCACAGCAAAAATGGCTCCATGTACTTTTTTCATCATACCCTTTACTGTCTCTCCTTCCCATCACAATATGGCAGAAGATGCAGTGGAAATGATCCTGCAGAAAACAAAACAAAACAAAACCCAAAAACCAACCCCCCATGTAAGGCAAAGCCATCAGTAGTGGTAGAGGACAGATCTCTTCATCTTTCCATACTCTCCACCCTGCCCACCTCCTCCCTCCCCCAAAAGACAAAGTACATGGAAGGGCACTTTTGATCTCTCTTTTGCTTCCTCCTCATTCCCCAAAGGCAGTTTGGGTTACAGGTTAATGCAGTTATCTACTAGGTTCCTATAGGCACATCTGAAAACACCTTGTCTAAGAACACCTGAAAGCCACCAAACAATTAGACCTGATACTGGTGGGATCCGACAAGGCAGAGTTCTCTGACTGGGCTGCTGCCACCAGGATTCTCCCCAAAGGAAAAAAATCTGGGGCTGTTGCTTCCTTTCATTTCTTTCCTACTGGAATGAAGAACAGTTGCCCAGATGTGTTTATTCAAAGGTGCAAGAAACGATTAACAAACAGCTCCACCAGAGTGGCAAGTCTGGCTCCCTTCTGGACTTAAATCCTGAGGCAGACCATAGGCTGCTAATGAAGCTTGTTCCACAGCACACCATGCTTCATATGGGCTCTTCCACACTCCCTTATAACTCCAGGCCATTATTTTTTCCTAAAACCAGCTACATAAATATTTACTCTTTTCCACACTTAAAGATTTATTTAGTTCCAATTTATTCCAAAGTCTATAGATGGCAGCTTCCAGCTTCAAGCAAGTAAGTGTTAAATCTACATCCTGTGCTTGACCGAAGAGATGCAGCATCATTTCTGAGAGCTGGAAAATCTAGGCTGCAGAATAATACAACCTTTTTTTTCCTTTTCAGGATGCCAGACCCTTAATTCATTTTATTATTTATAGACAAACTGTTTCATACAGTATTGGAGGTTTTAAAAATGTATTATCTCTCATGTGCCTCTCCTCTCCCTCCCCTTGCACAGTTGGATTGGTGGTAACTAAGGCAACCCAGCTGCACAGCCTGAGAGGCACAGAAAATAGTACCAGTAATGACTTCTTTTTGTTTTAAATCCCAGAGTTTCTAGAGTACAAGACAATGTTGAGCAATAGAGAAACTCCAAAGAGGATAATTTGAAACAATGAGCTGATTCTTTTACTGCCATAAATTTACCTCAGCCAAGAACTTGGCTGCAGGGTCTGTGTACCAAAGATGAACCATGTCATAGTTTCTCCCCTTCCTGATGGGTGGAAAACATCACACAGGCAACTGACTTCATGTTTCTTCGACCAGTCAAACTAGAATCCTCAAAAATAATGTAAACCAGTGCTCGCTTGGGGTTTGCTCTTGTTGGGACAATCAGATCCTTGGGAGAAATTTGGATCAGAGCTCCCCATCAGACAAAGCAACCTTTCAAGTGAGGTCTCTTATCTAGAACCAGCATTTGAAGATGGAGCACTTTCTTTTTTCTGCCATCTAACACATCTGAAAAAAACCCCAAAATAACATTCATCATCTGCTTCATTTCAATACTCTGAAATGCAGCTGAAGAGGAGCTATAGCCAGCAACAGCTACTTGCTCCACCAGTGATTGAAAAGCTTCCTGAGGGACACCTGGCAAACCACTTACAAGATTTTGTGGGCCCAAGGCCTCCCCCAGAGAAATGCTTATCCCCAGGTGGTCCTTTGGGAAAGAAATGGGGGAGGAAAGGAGGCTGATTGTTGAAGCGTGCAGCAGCTCCAACAGACCCACCTGGATGCTTGCTGTCCTCCAGAAGGGAAAGCTTTGGCCAGCAGCTGGCTGAGGAACACTGTCAGGGGCAAAACAAAAATTAAGGTTATTATAATGCAAGGGATAAGGAAGAACAACAACATTAAGAACCATTGCTCTGAGGAAAAAGAGGGAAATTATGGTGGATTAATTTTCTCATGCTCAGTGCAGAGAAAGATGCACTCTTCCAGATCTTCTATGAGCTCTTAAATATCTCAGGAAGACATTGCTGAAGCCTATTTACCTAAGGCTGAAATAAAGTTAAACAACAATCTTCTCTTTAGCCTGTTTTTCCTTTTTTTTTTTTTTTTTTAAGTACTTTTGCATTCAATGCATTTTCCAGAATCATGTAACATGTTTTCACAACTGATTATTTTCCCTGAGTTTTATTTTTGTATTTATGGGCTTTTGAAACCAAGCTCCCTTAATACCCTGTAGCCTTGGGAAATCCAGCCTATGTGGCAGCTCACAAATCTGTGCAATATAAAGCAATACTATAATAAGATTGAATTCTTGATGCTGTCATTATTCCGAGCAGCTGTTTGAGATTGCAGAAACACGAATGGCAAATGAAGGGATGTGAAGGGCAACTGTGTGGAGTATGAAGCCATGCTACCGTTGTACTGGTACAGGCCTATCAACAGCAGTTTTTGACTGAATGTTAAAATGCTGATGTTCTGCCCGTAGTTATTACTCCAGACACAGGTTCCACCCTTTGTTATTACAGTATCCAGAAGGGATTTTTAAACTGAGATTCCTTTCCAGAGGATTTGTTGTATCACACCTTTAGAAATGAAGAATAAGAGTACAGAGCTTAACTATTCCTTTCAGTAATAATTAAAGGAATATCTATACTATTATATAGATATATATTTATTATATATAAATAATGTTTATATCCATAATTTCACTATATTGCTGATGTTGAACGGAACTCAGATTTTACTGGATCTAAATCCCAGAGTTTGCAAACTAAATATGGATATTTACTTTTGACTCATCCGTTCTTCCTAGTTGTACCAAAAACCTGTGATGGCACATTTATGTCCTTCTTATTTTGTCACTCCCCAAAGCTGTTTATCCCTCAGGCAGAGATGACTGACTGTGTAAAAGAAACCTGCACTATTTGTCACAGGTCCTACTTTTAGTGATATGTTTATCTGGTGATCCACTGGAGACAGACTGGATCAGAACCTCGCTCACAAACCAGGGATTACGAATTCATCACATGGAGGCCAGATATTAACAGGTGCTGGTAAACATGCTGGTCCTGGCCTGCCAGACAATTTTTTTTCTTTGTGGTTTGGGTTTTTTTTCCCTTACCCATAAATATTTGTTTGGTCAGTACACACCAATACAATACAGCAATTAGTGTTTCAGAGCCTCTGAGGTCTACGGACAAGGAAAGATCATTTAAAGGAGAGTTTCCTGTGAGTGAATGATCCTTGGAGGGGAAGAAGAGAGGCTGAGGTAATGTGTTAGAAAAGGTACCCATAAACAGTTGATTATTGCCACACTGGGTGCCCCACAGTAGCACAATAACTGGTGCTTCAGAAAGCTGTGGGATTTCAGTAGGTCCTGTGCTGTCCTGACCAGCCATGTGAGGATCCCCCAGATATCCGAAGTGCAGGGATTACTCATCTGCTGCCCTTCCAGACAAGCTTTACTTTTAAAGCTTTTCACATATTCTTACAACAAGCTAGGCTTGCTTGGTGACAGATACTTTCTCCCACTGGCAAAGCACAATTATTCTCAATGGGTGTGGCTCATGGCAGATTTCAAATAATTCCTCAGTCATTGAGTAATCTGTTACTTTCTGGGGACATCCCAGGCTCATTTGACTTCTGCAGCACTTTAGCATTAGCAGCTGGTCCAAGACATGCACTTGCAGTTTACTCCCACTCCCAAATGGGTAGAGTTCCCTGGGGATGTTGGGAGGCTGGGGCCAGTTTCACATCCTCCCCATGCCTGATGTGTGAAAGGACTTCTCTGTTGTGCCTTCCCCCTCACATCCCAATAATGTCTTCTCCTCTGTCTCCAAACAGGAGATTCAATAGTAATACTGGACCACAAGTGGAAAGGCAAGTGAACCCTCCTCTTGAAGCCAAGCAATCTCTCCATGAATGCTGAAGCCATGAAGTAGAGGAAAATAAATGCAGCTGTGATAAATCCTTTCTCCAAAGCATTGCAGATTCTGGTGAAGCCATTATGACATCAGACATATGGAAAACTGGTGGAAAATATGAAATGTTTGCCTCTTTCATGATAACTCTGCAACTGCTATGAATAAGAAAATTGTGTTCATCTGTTTACACAGATTTCTCATCTCTTGCACAACGTACGTGAGGATGTGTCCATGGTTAAAAGCTGTCACTGGTAAATGCACTCCCTCATGAGCCTCGCACCACTCTGTAAAAGACCTGTGAATGCAAGCCAGCTCTTGTTTGGATTGCCCTTCATCAAGTCTGGAAAAAATTAAGAGGAGAGATAATTTTAACAGTGCTGTGACTTCCAAGCTAGCTAGATAACAAATTGGGCTAACAAGCACTGTAATTAGAAATGTCTGCTCAGAAAGTTCACCATGAAGCCGAGTTCTTCTAATGAGAAACTTTCTGTAATATTAATATGCTTAATATCTCCCCTCCATTTTAACAGGAAATCTGAAAGCAACAGTTTCTTCCTTTTTCTTGGTTTCAGTTAATCTCGCAGCAAAAGTAACCTAATTATACTGACTGTATGATTGCTTTGACAGAAAGCATGTTAATTTAAAGCACTGTTTAACATAAAGCTGCCTGCCATATAATTATACTCCATTCACATGTTTACTAATTTTCCTCAATATAGTTGATTTCTGTTATTAGCCTCAACATTTTGTTAACATCCAAAACACTGGAGATCTGCTTTGCAAACTCCAATAAACATGCAAAACCGCGAGTAGCATAAGTGTTCCTTAATGGTCAATGTGAAAAAGAAAAATCTCTCTTATTATTCCTGCATTCAAAGAGGATTTGAAACTAGTTGCAGTATTTAAATGTCTAACTCCATCCTCATTGCCAAAGCCCCTCGCTTAGAGCTACTGTGCAACACAGTTCACCGGGCTGCTATTTTCACCTTTCAAATGCCGCTGGAGCTTAGCAAAAACGAAGCACATTGTAAGCTGCCTGTGAGCAATAAAAAGATAATGCGTATACATGAGATTGTTCTTCTCATGTGTTAAGCACCTGATAAAAATTCTAATCTGGGAAGTTAACATGCTAGGCCTAGACTGTAAACTAAGTGAACTCAATGAGAGACGTGCATGCATTCAATAATTCCCAGCCTATCTAGATAACTCGCTCCAGCTAACTTTGCAAGGGGAATGTAAGCAATTACACATGCCCACACACAAACACATTCCTCCCTCCTTTTTTGTTGAAGCTGAAAGATGCTGGTCAAAGGAAATATATCAGAGAGACAGACAGAAGAAAAAACGTGAAGGGAATTAGGAAAGAAGAGAAAGTTATGGAAACTCCCTGTACAGGTTTGTTGGGTATTTTTGTCTCTACCTCTCTTCTTTTTAAATTGTTTTCTCTCTTACTGATACTCCAGTACAAACAGTTGAATTGTCAGAAACTCAAAACGAAGCCTGGGCCCCAGCACAGAGGGATAGGTCTTTCCACTTCCAACCAGAGGAGCCAAATGGCAGACCTCACCCTCAGCTCCTGCTCACACCAGGGGTACCTTTGGGATTTGATGTGATGACTGAGCTGTTGGACTACAGGGCTTTGAGGAGAATCATGTTTATTTCTTTGAAAAGGGCTCAGAAGAGACCCTTCTCTCAGCTACATCCTGTATGGAGAGAAGCTGGATTCCAGTCATGCACTCGAGGAAAGCAATGAGGAATGCCTGTCCCCAGAATACCGGGGGTCTTGGGTTTGCTTTGCTCCTTTCTCTCATGTCCACAAAGGCCCGAAAGGAGGAAAATGTCATTGCTCACAAACCAACATTTTCCCAGTGGCTTTTCAAAAGGCTTTACTGAGACACCCTGGATAAGGATCTGGCCTTGACGACATTTACACCAGATTTCTCTTTCCAGTCCATCAGTCTCTCTCACTTCATTTTAAGTATGCAAAGTCAGTCAGAACTGTTTATTTATAGCTGTCGATGTTCACGGCTGTATAAATTAGCTGTTATTACTGAATGAGGTGCCCGCCCACTCACCCAGAGCAGCTGCACAGGAGCCCTTTCATGCTGCTCCACAGAACACAGCCCCAACGGGGAGGGAAACTACGCTGTTCCAGGCAGACGAAGGGACCACGGCTCAAACCCCTGGGCGAAAAAACAGCAATTAATTTTTTTCCACAGTGCAATCTGCAGCATGACAACCACAATTACCTAATACTGTTTAGACCTGCCACTTGCATTTGGCAGAGAGAGAAAATGAAGGATTAAATTTACCAGAGGAAAAAAAAACTACCCAGACTAGAACCTACCCCTGGACTTTCATTCTATAAGATGAAGCGATATTTGTTTAGAGGGGGTGAGGAGGAAGGCACAGTGGGGAGGATGGAAATGCAAAACTGGTTATTATTTGAGGCAGAGCACCGTCAGAAAATAAGGACCCATCCCATACAGACACACTGAGCTGTTTCCAGCAGAAACAGCTGGAAAGCAATATCCACCACCATGAGGAGCTTTCATCTTAACTCACACCTTTGTAACAGTTTACTTCCACAAAAAGCATAGGCAAGTGCTAATTTATTCCCTCCCCAGTTTCCCACACAAATTTCTTGGTTTGGGTCTCTGCCAAAGCTTCAGGGTCACAATGTGACCTCAACAACATAATTTAAGATTGTTCCAAGCCTTCAGTGGAACCAGTGAGGATTTACTTTGATGGATATGCAGCCAAGATCTGGCATGCAGAAAATATGCATTTACATTCTACCAAAGTGTCTAAAATAGTTGCCCAGGGACGCTGAAATTCAATTTGAGACCTTGTATTCACTTGGCAGAGCACATAATTAAATATTTTGTGCCACAAAATTAACCAGAGTCTCAGGGGTATGGGTAAGAGAAGGCTTAGAATCAACCATGAGAGTCAAACTAAGACCCACTTCCCAGGCAAGTTATTCAGTAAATATTGTGAAAAAAAAAATCATTGCAGTCATATATGGGTTCATAATAATTTTTGTTAGTATTTAATCTTGCTGATTATCTGTAGTAAACTCTTACCTCAGGGGAAGAGGTTATTGGCAGTGTGGATTCATATAAATAACCCCAGTATCAAGAATGACTCTTGAACTAAAGCTCCTGCTCACAGCTAAAAACTGTTTGTCCTTGAATTAACCATTTGGAAAGAAGCATCAGTGTTGGGGAAGGTAAAAATCAAGTACAATTACAATAGGCCAGACATCAGAACAAGTGGTCAAAAGCCCCAAAGCAGAATTTTTGCCTTTTAAGGTCTCCAGAGACCCTACACTGCAAGGAGTTCAATGTTCCTGAAAAGCAAACCAAATTCCCTTAGTGTTTGATGTCAGTAGCCTTCAGTTTAGATTCCAGACTCTGGTGAGTCTAAAAACAAGAGTTTGAGTTAAACCTTTAGGATATGGCCCAATAAGAGTTCTGAGCTATAAAATTTAATGGTAATACTTGGTGTTTCAAATGTCACTTTCTATCAAATGCTCTCAAAACATTTAAGCAAAGCTTCAAATTCCTTTCCCCTTGAGAGGGTAATTTCCCTCACTACCTGGAAAACAGTGCATATATAAGAGAATAATGCTTTATTTTACACCCAAGACAAGCAGAATTACCTCCTCCTCCAAGTATGCAGCAAAATATGGTTTCACTGTTGGTATGGACTACATTCCTTAGGGAGAGGAGTAGGAAACCAATACATGCCAAACAAGACTGCTTTTTGAGATGTTAAATCGAGTTTTTTCATGTGGAAACCCCCAGTGAGTGTGCCCAAGCATCAGTGCCCAAGTGGGAAATGAGTGTATAAAAGGAGATCCATGGTTAAGCATTTCTTTCCATCAGAAATGCTTCCATCAGACAGAGAGAAGCACAATCGTGGAAGTGTGCTTCAGAAGGGGAAGAACCACAATTTCAATCATAGAGTCATTAAGGCTGGAAAAGACCTCGAAGATCATTGAATTCAAGCATTAACCCAGCACTGCCAAGCCCACTACTAAACCCTGCCCCAAAATGTCACATCCACACGTCTTTTCCACTTCCAGGGACGGTGGTTCCAGAACTTCTGTGGGCGTCCCGTTCGACGACCCTTGTCGAGCCTGACGACCCCCAGCCCTCAGCGTCCCTGCGGCCCCGCGGGGCTCAGAAGCGGCCACAGGACCGGAGGTGTGGCCGAGGACCCGCTGCACTCAGCACCGCAGCGGGAACGCCGCTACCGCCGTGCTCTCCGGAGCCAGAGCCAGCGCGGCAGAGCCCGGCGGCTCCGTTCCGGCGAAGGTGCCGGCGCTGCGGCCGCTCCGTGCGGGGCAATTCCCGCAGGGAAGCGCGGCAGGG